CGGGGCGGGGCTGCAGGCCGTGCCGCCCCGCCATTGGCCGGCGCCGCTCCGCCGGCCGCGGCTCATTGGCGGATGCTCAAATTCAGTCTCAAGGCGCCAGAGGAGGTGTTTTAGCGGGGACCGCGGGTCCCAGGCTGGAGCGGCGCTCAGCAGGCAGGAAGCGCAGGCGCTGCCCGGACGCCGGGGGGGTTCCCCATACTTGGAGTCGGGCTGTGCGCGCCCCTCGAGCCCTGCGGATGGCATCGCCGGGCTGCTAATATCTGCTCACCCTGCCCGGGTCCGCATGCGGCTGTGGATGTCCCCGGAGAGGCTGAGAACCGCCTTCGCACCGTGGCTGTAAGGAAGCGTGCGGCCCCGACGCCGATGGGGAGGCGGGAATAGGGGGCTGCTCACCCCGGCTGCCACCCACCACCCTGCCGCCCCGCTGCCCCGGGAGCCCAGCGCCCCGCCGGGGATGTGCGTATGGGTGCGGTGCTCGGAGAAGGGGACTGACCCTTCCCGACACTTGGGGGGGGGGCTTCTTTGGAAGAGTTTTCCTTTGGGGTGTGCTTAGTTGCTTGGCTGGGAAGGGGCTGCGCTATGCCCACGCGGGATTGGTCTTGAGATCAGGTTTCCGTCTCCTTCTCTGATTCAAACCCCCTCAAAGTCGAATTCCTCCTAGTTCTTTGCGCCAAAATTAACTGACCTGGGAGACCCTGTAACTTTCTGACAGATTTGCCCACCACCTTCCGGACTTGGTAACTATTTTGCCCTCTTGTTTTTCATCTTCCCAGATTTTCAGTGATTTCCAAGCATATTTTATTAAATGTTTGTATTCGTGTGAGTTTTAAAGAGGATTTGAGAGTTGTGTGTATTCCTGGAAATTCCCAGGAAGTCCCTAGGGAACTGAAGTACATGTTCATAGACAAATAATATTGGTGTTGGAGGGGAAAATATCTAAGTGTAAAATCCTTTTTGAATACAATTGTATGTTCTAGATGGAGGTAAACTGTTTAACACTAAAAGACCTGATCAGCCCCAGGCAGGCCAGGCGAGATTTTGCCATTGAAGATGCAGAAAATGCACAAAAGGTAAGCACATATAAATGCTTTAATCACTAACCATTTTGGATGGAGATATCCAGCTCTTGTCTTATAAGCATCATAATTTTGATGACTATTATAGAATCACACAAATGGAGCCATTGGAACCTTTATTGTTTCAATTCTACTTCCAGATCTTGTGCAATAGAAAACCAGGCCAGGTTAGATGAAGTGTTTAAACCAACTTAGAAGTCAAAGCTATGCTGGGCACAGCAATCAGAAGTTTGTGATACTTAGAGCTGTCAGTGCTCATCTAGCAAATGCTTTGTGGAATTTAGAAGTACTAGTTTGCAGAAAAGTAACTTTCATAATTATAAAATGCTGGGCTGTTAAAATGCTAAGAAACACTCTTTATCTTCGTGAACCAGCTATAGGGGTTCTCCCATTCACCCAGAAGTTTTGGTCTATGATGCCTACCATATCACTAACCTCTTCTGATATTTTACAGAGCTTCTGCTAGTTTTATACTGAGCCATTCTCTTCCATTTGGCACTTGAAGTCTGTGTGTGTCAAGACACTGTCCATAGCGATATCTGAACTATCCCCTTGCCTGCATCAGGACAGGTGTGCAAATCAGCAGGTGTGCTGTTGAAAAGGTATTAGAGCTGTGACCAGGGAAATTTGAACAAGTAGCTATAATAAGCCAGTTTTAGGAATTTTGAATATAAATCTGTGAGTAGCAATTTCTTTGGGCATTAAACCTCTCTGGGTTCCTGGTATTAGTTTCAGGTTTAGCGTCAACAGTGAACCTGCCTGATGGCAAAGAACCTACCTTTAAGCAGTATTTAACAGTTACTTGTTTTGGATAGATCTAAAATTTTGTCCTTTATCCTGGCTTTGATTTCTTTTTGTTAGGAAAAGAAAAACAGTATGCCTAAGCATTATAGTTTTAAAGAGGATGTCTTAAAATGACCTAAAAATATGAAGGTGAAAATGTCCAGACCTTGTCTATAGCTATAGTTTTGGCTTTGGGAATTGCAAAGTAAAACTGTTTTCCTTTGTAATTTGGATGGTTCAGCCTTGGGGGGAACTGCAAGGCAGTGCTTTACTTTTGTCTTTCTAGGTCAGTGACTGCCAAGTCCTCCCCACCTGCCCTTTCCCCTAGGTTGCCTCAGCAAGTGTTATGTCCAGTTGAGCTTTCTCATGGAGGTACAGAGAAATTCAGTTAACTTAGAGGACATGGTTAAAGTATTTGAACTGGAGTGCATAAACATGGGGTTCTTTATCACAAGAGAGGATGGCCAGGGATTCGAACAGAGTGCCTCTGCAGAGACACTAGGGGAGTCATTGGCCTTCTCCACACTGTTGCAGAGGAAAAAGCTTTCCTAAGGATGGTAGGAATGTGGAGTTTCGAGTCATAGGGACCAGGGTTTAATTTCTCTGCCGTGTATTGGCTGCATGGCCCCAAACAACTGTGTTTCTAAGGTCTTTGAGCAGATGTTCTGAAGCCTGCCGAGGTTGAGGTTTAATGAATTTCCTAGCCTTTCTTGGGCCATTTTTTTTTTCCTTTCTTTAAATTGGAGCCATTATATAGCATCTCTCCCACTGGGGTTTTCTAAAATACCCAGCTTTCTATACCCTTCACGTACATTGAATTAAAATGATGGCCAAACATAAATACATTGCAGGCTTTCGCCTTTGGTTATCTGACAGGCTTTCAGAGACTCAGATGCAAAACTAGCTCCTCTACTATGGTTTGGTGAGTGCTGTAAGCATGAGGAGCAAACTGCCAGGCAGGACAGCGGAGAAAGAAAAACATCCATAGGAGTTGGTACTTCACAGGGGAGGTAACGTTTGGATTAAACCTTAATGAGTAAGGAAATTCAACCTGTAAGAAAATGAGTAAGACAACATTTCACGCAGAAGGTACAAAAGATGGGCATTGAAGAAATGTTTGAGAAATCCAGAGTGACCAGAAGCCAGTGAGGCTGAGCTGTTCCCTCTGGGGATACCTGGAGGAGACCATTGGATCACTTGTCCTTTACAAGATCTCTTTCTTAACATATACACTGCACACATCTGACCATTCATGGAGAAACTTGTCTTGAAAACATAAAAGACTTTATTTCCCAATTCCTCTGCTCCCACTTGTGGTATAATAAACAGACTCTTCAATGTACTGATTGATGGCAGAGGTAGAAAGAAAGTGGACAGGTTGGAAGAGGGAGGGGAATGCTAAGGATGAATGTTGAGGGCTTTGTGAAGTTGCTGATACTTGAGTTGGGCCCGAAGAGAATGAGTGCTGAGGCCTAGGCAAGTGGACAGAAGGGGATTAGTAAAGAAGTAGAATGTTCTGGACTTGATAGTGCATGCCTCTAATCCCAGCACTCTGGAGACTGAGGCAGGAGGGTTGGGAGACTGGAATAACAAGCTTGGACCACCATGCCCAGCCTGCATGTGTGTTCTTTAAAGTTTTTTTAATATATTATTTTTATGTTATGCGTATGAGTGTATTGTCTGCCTGTGTGTGAGTGCACCCGTGTCATACAATGCCGCGGAGGTCAGAAGAGGGCTTTGGATTCCCCTGGAACTGGAGTTGGGGATGGTTCATAGGCGCCATGTGGGTGCTGGGAATCAAACCCGGGTCCTCTGCAAGAGCAGTCAGTGCTCTTAACCACTGAGCCATCTCTCCAGCCCACATAACATCCTTAGTATCTCTTGGGAGTGGTTGAAACAGATGCTGAACTCAGTCCGGAACTGGCTTATACCTGTGTGATATGCAGGCAGATACAAGACTATGCAGGAGGTGGCTCAGTGCCTGGCTTTAGAATTCTTGAAAAGTTCTAGCATTGGAACCAAACTTGGAATTTTAAAGCCATGTATATGCGATTGGGTGAACTGTTATAGAGAGTGAAGAGAGCCAGAGGTCTGAGTGTGGACTCTTGTAGTTTGTGAGAGTAGAAAAGGGAACCAATTAAGGAGATTGGGAAGGTGTAATCAGAAAGATGGGAGAAGAAGGAAAGTATAAAATCTCAGCAGCTAAGGGCCAGCTTTTATAAAGAATCGCCAACAGCCCTAACTGTTTTAGTGAGGGAAGTAAGATATTTTTGCCACTGGATTGATTGGGCAACTGAGAGATAACCTGAGTTAACACCATATGTAGGAACAGACTGAAATGGTTTGGGAAGCTCTGGGAGGGTGGAGGGGAGGAAGCCCTCAGTGCAGATTACTCCTAGAAAGTGTGTTCTGGCAGGCAGGAGAGTTGTTGGTCAGTAGCAAGGAGAAGCTTCCTAACATGTAGTCTTTGCGATAAGCCTTTAACAACAGGCAAGATTTCCATAGGCAAAGCTCGATCGATGTTATTAAAGAAAAAATAACTCTGAGCAACAGCTTAGAAAGTGAGGGCAGGTCTGAAGAAAACCGAGTGAGATGTTAGGACAGTGTGTGAGTTATGTATGACAGGGAACTGAAGAAGAGATTGGTCAGAGTAGCATCAGGGACCTTGACAAAGCTGGTGGCTGCATGTATGACTTGAGGTTACGTAAAGCCATAGAGACGGAGCCAAGTCTAGAACCAAGATCTTTTACCCACCAAGCCTTTTCTGTGTCAGTAAACAACCTATTCACCTATAGTCATAGTGCAGGTACTTACTAATGATAAGGATGAACATTCAAGCAGCACTTGACAGATGGTAGCCCTTTTGCCTGCATAATCTAAGCTGATCCTCACAGGTAAGCCAAGGTTCACTCCTTTATAGCTGAGAACGCTGGGGCCCTTTCATGGCTTGCATTTCTCTAGGCTCTCCAGTTGAAGTGGTGTCCAAGATGGTGCAGGTTAGATTTCCTATCAGGTAGCTCTCACTTGAGTTCATGTGCCCTTGGGATTGTGGCAAGATAGGGGGAGAAAGTGAAAAGGAGCAGAATTAGACAGAGAAAGAGAACTGTAATTCAATCACTGAGGAAGTCTGAGATTACACATTCTAGGATGATCTCTCAAAGTGGTCCTGAGCTGGGGCAAGACCAGACCTTTGCATGTTGATGGGATTTCTACCGGTCATTGAGTTTAGTATGGACCTCCCACGAAGGGCTGTGATCCCAGACTCATCAGCTCTCATAAGCCAAAGCAGTCCAGCCAAGGGTGTACTCATGGTTCAGCTGGGAGAATGTCTCATTTGTTCCTAAAGAGATCTGGGTGCATCCAGCATCCACCGTAAAGCTAGGCAGCCTTGCTAGAACGCCTTGAACATTAGTCTAAACCGTGCATGCATGTTTGTGTATGTGTGTGTGTGTGTGCCTGTTTGTGTGTACTCTTGGTACTAAGTAGAATGAGTGATACTGGCTGAGACATACCAGGTTTCTCTAAGTCCCCTGTCCTGGTTTGTTTCTCCATTGCTGTGACAAAATACTCTGACCACTACCAACTTGGGGAGGAAAGGGTTTATTTGTCTTATATCTCTGGGTCACAGTTCATCAGGGAGCCCAAGGTAGGAACTCAGGGCAGGAACCTGGAGGCAGGAGCTGGAGCACAGGCCATGGAGGAACGCTGCTTACTGGCTTGCTCCCTGGACCCTGCTCAGCCTGCTTTCTTATGTAATACAGGCCCACCTGCCCAGGGGTGGCACCACCCACAGTGGGCTGGGCCCTCCCACATCACTCAACAATCAAAAAGATGCCCCACATACATGGCCACAGGCCAGTCCAATGGAGACAATTCTCCAATTGAGGCTCCCTCAACCCAGGTGTGTCAAGTTGACATTAATGTTATATAGCAGAGTATGCCCCCCTAGTATCCCCTATCAAAGCTCTGGTGTAGCTGAGAACTAAGCAGTCCAGTAATAGGAGAAGGAACAGTGCTGAGTATAATAGTAATGTATTGTTTCAGTACGGAGCTTTTCATTTCAGATACCTAGGCTCTTTGCCAGAACCCTCCATACTAACCCTAAGTGGCAAACATGATTATGAACATTTTGTAG